TGATTTCGGTTTCGCAGTGCTACTTTTAATTAAACGAAAAAAACCTTTTTGGAAGAAGTTTGAATTTTCTGAGAGTTAAAAGCTTTCAAAGGAATTCCTTGATATCAAACGGCAACATTTGTTTTTGGCTATTATAATTTTTTGTATTTAATTAAGTAATTGAGACTATAAAAAACATCATTAATCAATTAGCAATTTTTATTCAATTTCAAACTGGAATATCAATAGTCTAAAGCTATTTAATTCCGGTAATCCAAAATGAATCATTCTAATTTGTCTAATATATTTTTATATTAAACAAAAAGGATCTTTCTTATAAATACACAATAATATCCGGTAATGACCTATAAACAATTCAAGTTCTAGATTTAAATTTAAATTGCCTTTTTTTTCCAAATACTTATTCGAGCATTATGTATGTATAACATAACTTTCTAAATTCCTAATACAAAACAGTTAATTTTATTTCGATTAAAATATCCAATTTAATAAATAATAAAAACACATATTCTCAACATTATTAAGTCAATAACTTTTTGAAATATATTATAGAATATTTGGCAATTAAAATGCTATAATAACACAATAAAAATATTTTTAAACAAATCAAGAAAAGCAAAAATAGAATAAATATGTTAAAAGAAGAACCGGAACCACCTATTAGGTGCCTAATATTAAAATATTCAATTATTATTTAAAATAGTTTTGCTCTTAGTATAGTTAATTATTACGGAAAAAATGCAGATGAGAAAAAAACGACAGCAAAAATTTAATCGAATTTTTGACTTGATTAAAAAACGACATTTATCGATATCGAATGTTCATGGAATCGAATTTGCCAATAAAAATAACAAAAACAAACCAAGTTCTTATATTATTAAAAATAAAGATTGTGGCGCCAATTTTATGATTTATAAATATTTTTATTTGCTTCTCTTTCACATAATTTCAGGATCCAAAATTTTTATTTATTCTATTTAGAATGGGATTTTTTGTTTTCTGAAATTCTTTATTGATTCCATATTAAAGTATAGAGAGATTCATGTTGAGTAAAATTCAATATTGATTTGACTGGCTTTCATTAAAGTAGTATAAGTACTAAGTGTAGAAAATTTCTAAATTCAGTAGCATTTAGAACTCAAATTGAAATTGATGAATTTTAATAAATAAATTTTAACTAAACTTAACATATAAAAATAATTTTTATACATTTATATAAGTGTTAAATAAATTTAACGAAAAATTTTTTAAACAATATCGATAATTACAAAAAGGAAACTATTTTTACTCTTTGCGAGTATCTGTCTCTATTCTTTTTGATTTTTGCGAGTATCTGTCTCTGGGTGGGACCATACTGGTCACGTGGAGCTGGGCAAGTGTGGCGGGCTGGACGAGCGATCGAAGATTTGCGTCCTATAATTGTACGCTCAATGTAGGCCTATGTAGTGCTAGAAAAACGGCACATTTGTGTCAATTGCCATATGGTGGAACTGTTGCAAGGGCTACGTGGGCCAACCAATTCTCAAAATATATAGGATATGAGAGCAGAGAGCTCAAATATTTTCTATGAAATTTCCCACGGGCTCCTATTGGAACTGTTGCACCGGTTACGTGGGCCAACCAATTCTCAAAATATATAGGATATGAGAACTCCAATATTTTCTATGGAATTTCCCATGGGCTCCTATTGGAAATCCAATATATATAAGATATTTAATAGTAAAATAAATATTTTACTGTTATATTATTTTTGACATTGACATAACGTTTCTTTCACAAAAATGACGTATCTATCTTGGGAAAGAGAAGAAAAATGTTGTTGAAAATTTGAAATTGTTTTGACAATATTATGACAGCCTAGTATTGATTGTGTCAAATGTCAAATCCCTTCATTTTGCGTTTGCTTCAAAATTTATTTCATATTTTTCTGTTCGGGATCTCTCTCTCCTTTTCTCCAAATTCATAAAACTGATAAATTTATTATGAATTAATTATTAGTTTATTATTAATTTTGTTTTTCGAAAGAGGTGTTTTTGATATTAAGAGTCAAAAGTTTTTGAATATAAAAAGAAAATTCTAAAGAATTTTAATTGAAAAAAAAAATGAAACCATGTACAAAAATAAACGATAATAATGATTTATTGTTTTTCAAAAATTAAATTTAAATATTTTTGCACGAAAAAAAGAAGAATTAATTATAATAACTTGTAGAATTGAACGGGATGAATCAAGTTCCGTTAGATTTGAAATTGAATAGAACTGTCTTTCAATTTATTAATCGAAAACAACAAAATAACATTAAATGAACGTAAATATTTGCTAAAAAAATACTAATTTGAAAACTAATTTTTTTGGTTTTTAAAACTTTTAATATCATAATTAAACCATAGAATAATCAAGCTTAAAAGTTATAATTAAACTTGATTTTTATCTACAGAGTTTAAAAGTTACTTAGCAACTGTTTATGGGTTTTTTGGTTTTACTTGTTGCTTTTTCTATAATTAAAACTCATTTTTAAATTTTAATTAAGACAACAACTTTAAATGATAGTGTTATTTTTTTTCCCTGCAAATTTATAATTGATGTTTAATTTTTTTTCGATTTTTTATTGTGTTATTTTTGCTTCTTTATTAATAATTAGATTTAAAATTGGTGTTTGATTATTCCAAAAATTCTTGTCATAAATAACATGTCAGATTTATTGTATGAAGCGTTAAATTATGTTAAAAGCGTTAAAAGCAAAACATTAAATTACTTTAAGCTGCAAATCTCTTATTCATTGTGTTGCGAACAATTGCGCGTTAATTTGGGGTTATTATTAGCCGATTATCACAAAGTGATTATTAATAGAATGTTTTGTAAAATGAATATTGAGTAAAATGTAAGAAATTGAGTTTTTTGCTATATCGCTCAAAAATTTAGTTTTAGAGATTTGTAAAATTATAAATCTTTTTTAAAGAAGTATGGGATTAAATTCTCATTTTCATATTTAAAATTGTTTATCTCCCTAATGCATTTTCCCAACAGTTTTCAAAATATCGAGAAAATTTTTGAAACTCTAAAACGAAGTGTAATCGATCTATTTACTCTTTTTGCTTACATTTTCACAAACAGTGAAATACATTGAGTTGAAATATTCATTTCGTACGTTTCACATCAAAAATTAAGTTTTACGCAATTGTCAAAGAATTTGTGTTTTTTACGATATGTCAGACGACATATCGAATTGGACGACAATACGGTATGGGCGGACGAATTTATATATGTATATCCGTTTTAACGTTTTTTATAATTTCTCTCAAATAAAACAGTACTGAAAAAATAGGTAAAAAATTTCACTTATATTTGAAGTTTTGCATGTTATAATATTATGTTCATTTGTTATACATTACAAAATCATTGGGCCATTGAGATTATTAAGCATGTAACAGAAATATCTTTTGTCTTTTAAAAATTAATTAAATTTTTGTCAAAAATTTTCACTCTTTTTCCCTTTTTAATATTAAAAAATTTGATATTTAAAAAATAATTTATAATTTTTTATTACTAAATATATGTAGCAGTAATAATTAATTTTTTTTAAATAATATTTTTAATTTTATTCAAATGTAAATAATTTTGTTTTTAACAATTAAATCGAATTTTACTTTTATGTTTTAAACGAGCACTCTGAATTCAATTTTAGTAGAAATTGCACCCAATATAGCATCTAAATTTTTTAATAATTCAAATTTTTTTAAAAAAGTTAAATGAAAAATTAACGAAAAGCAAAAAAAAAAAACAAAAATTTCGAAAATCATTTTCAGATTTTTATTTTATAAATAAATCTTTACTTTCAAGACATTCTTATAAATATTCCACATTAAAGAATTCGTTAAATTTGTTTGTTCATTAATAATTTTTACACTTAAGTAGTAATTAATAAAAAATATTTCTCTTTGTGTTTCAGTTTTTAGTTGCTTTTTTTTTATAGTTTATACAATTTACCTACTATAACATTAAAAATTTTTTGATTTTTTGTTCATTTTTCTCCTATAAATGCAATCTATGAACTTTCACATTTTAAAGAAAATGTCCAGCGCTTAACAGTACTTTAAAATTTCTTACGATATTAACTTACGATATTAATTTACGATATTATTTTACGATATCATTTACGATATTTTTCATAAGAATTCGATATTTTTTATGAGATTAACTAATTAACATCTTGTGAATAAAAAAGTACTGTAAGACGTAAAAAATTCAAATAAAAGAATTTCATCTAAACATCAAGTACGAGTAGATTTAAAATTGTTATTTTAAAAAAAAAACTCAATTTTATTTTTTGATATAAATATTTCAGATCCTGATATTTCATAAATTGAATTTTTGAAAAACTGTTCGACTTATAAAAAATTAGAAATATTGTTGAGCTTTCAGTGTTAGAATGAGAGCTTCTAATATTTTATGAAAAAGAAACATAATTTAAATGCTCGTTGTGGAGAATTTTAAAATTTTATTTTAAGAATTTAAACTATTATTTTAAGAATTCGAATTTTAAACAAGTTCAGATTAATTTGTATCTTACATACCTCTGCATATTTGAAAGTTCAAATACAGTTTGTGCATTAAATAATCTCGAACATTTAAAATAAATTGATTTTAAATTTTGTTTGGCGATTAAAAGCTTAATTTTTCAAAATCATTACCAATACTAGACAAAAAAGTTACTGAAGCCGGCGCTGGAATATTTCTTTAATTATATATTTTTCTTTTCCATTAAAATGTGTCAAAAGACAATTATTTTTTTTTTATGTTTTTTTTTTAATCTATTAACTTTTTCCCCTAATTTTTTAAAAAATTTTTTTAATCTTAATTTTTTTATAAACCAAGAAAACAAAATCTTAATTGTTTTTTAATTTTATTTTTTTTCTATTTTTTTTTTATATTTTACTTTTGGGACCATTACCTATGCTTTTTTGGCCTATATTATATTTTGCCTACCTATTATTTTGTAGTGAATTGAAAATTCATAATATTTATTTGGAGTTTTCATTTAAAAAAAAAAGTAAATACCCGACACCCATTAAAAACTTTTTTTTGAATCAAAACCGATAACAAAAAAATCAGTCAAAATTGATAAGAAACGTGAAAAATCGCCTGTCAAAACGACAGCATCAAGAACCTCAACAATGTCTTCAACATTGGAATATCTTGAAAGTAAAGAAAAATCTGATGATGATGGTTTATCACGTGAAAATCGATTGGAATTTTTGATGAAAAAATTAGTATATGAAAGTGAATGTAAAACTAATTTGAAAATTAATAGAAAACTTGATTTACTTGAAAAAAATATAGGCGATAGATATGATAAACGTTTAAAAAGGATTGAAAAAAAGGTTAGTGCATTATATAAAAAAAAAATTATTAATGCATGCTCTAACTTATTAAAATATTTAAAAAAACAAAGAATACCAATTAATTTTTATTATGCATGACCTTTATTTGAAAATATTATGTAACAATTATCGCATTTTGATTGAAAATAATTTAACATACGAGTATCACAGACGCATAATATATTCGTACAAATCAGCTTATCTGCTAATCCATAACCGTGACTAATTGTAAAATTGCTTTTCTAACTCTTTAATTTTCCGATTTTCAAAAAAATTAAACTGGAGCTCCTAAATATATGTATTTACGATATAACAATAACATTAAACTTTACGCGGTAGATTTTCAAATAATCTAAATTTAATTTGAAATTACATAATTTTAAACAGTAACTTGCAAAAAACTAAAACATTCTCCTAATTTGTTTATCAAAAATTGTTAGTCACTTTGACAGTAATGCAATTACATAATTACTTAATGATAATCTTTCAAGTTTTAGCTAATGCGCTTCGTATGTTAATCGTAATGAACTCACCATATTTTAACTAATGTTTCTTAAGACAAAACATTTAAATAACTTAAACGCAAGAGAGTATTTTAATTTTTTAAAGATTATTCTTTTTTTAATACACATTCAAATTAACTCGTGCAACTGTGAAAACTTGTTATAATTAACAAATTATTTTATAAAGATTTATAGCTGGTATCGTCGAATAAAATAAATTTTTATTTAAGTTGCAATAATTTTTTATTTTCAAAATTGACCTTATATTTATAGTTTTATAGCGTTTAAGCGTTCAAGAGTTGTTGAATGAAAATTTAATTTGAAATTGCCATGTTTTTCAATATAATTTAGTTTTTTCTTAAGCTAAGTCAAATAGATTAAATAGGTAAAAAAGTTATAACTGTATTCTGTCCTAGAAAGGAGTTCTGCATTTTTCCTTTTTTATTTAAATTAGCTAAAAAAATTTTTGTTTTGTTATATAATACTATTAGTAATAGTAATAGTAGTAGTAGTAGTAAAAATGGGGGCCACATCCTAGCACCCACGAGAAGCGCACGCACTAGTTCAACAATAAGGTCCTTTGGCAACCATCAAATAAACACCAGACAACCTCCATATAATACAAAATCAAAAAACCATCTACCGAAACCAATCAACCTCCTTGGCGGATCTTAGGAACTGCGGAAGAGGCTCTTTCAGCAAATTCTCCAGGTCGTCATAAAGAAGCCAACCCGGATACGTTTCCTTTTCTTCATATTGGGCGAACGGGTTCTAATAAATAAGTTTTGCTAACATACATTGACTGGATTCGGCTTCCAATTTTGTAGGAAAAGTCCTCAAAGCAATGTATTTTTTTTCCTTTACACCATTGCACATTTAGAAATAATTTTTTTAAAAAACTTTGATTTTTCAAACTGTTTTTATATGAAATTTGTGTGCAATGAAAAATTTAATATTAATTACTAAATTTCTTTCTGATTTTCTAACACTACTAATCTTACTTGTATTTAATTATATAGATGTAAACTTTATTACTTTTATTATAAAATTCACTGATTTGTCATAATATTTTTGCTATTACCTACTTACATATGTGTTATGTCAATGATCTAAGCAGCATTTCTAATAATATTTCTATAAAAGCAACTTGTATACACTTGCATTACAAGCTACAATAACATTTAATTTGACAACAATTTTTTTTGTACCTCTTTTATTTCTCATTTTGTCGCCAGTTTTTTTTTTCTCTTTTGCTTTTATTATTTAAAAGTGACCGCAAAGACCACTTTTTAATAAAAATAAATATAAAAAAAAAATTTTTTTTATTTACTTTCTCTTAACAAGCTACTAATTTAACAAGTTTAATAAATTTCTTAATTAAGAGTTATAGCAACACATGCATAATGTATAATCATCACGTTCAATGTCATCGGGAAATATGTAATTAAAATTTTAATTTTAAACAATAATGTTTAGAGCAACAACAATAATAATAGTAATTAGTAAATTACCCACATACATAATATTTACAAGAATATTTATGTTTAAAAGAAGGTATGCATTATAAAAATGTTTGCAAAAGGCAGGCAGAAACACACTCATACATTCGATAATATTAAAATTTTTAAAATTTCAACTACTTGTACATCCGTAAATTGTATTAAATCGACATTAATAATTTTATAGAATAAAATCAGCATATCGTATTCTCTTACTCTTTTAAAGTATGTATGTGCATAAGATTGATCTCCTCAAGAAATGATTGCATACTTACAGGGTCTTAAACCATTTTGTGCTTTAATAAAATTGTAGCATTGTAGTAAATAAGAACAACTACATTTCCACACGTAAATTTGTTTAAAGTTTACAAAATTGTATGTTTTCGAATATACTTTTTTATATGGAAGTTTAATGTCGAATCCACATAAGTCGTATTTCCTAAAATATATTAGAAAATTTTTATACTACGTAAGTTTATATAGCTCTTTTCTTGAAAATTACCTTGGCAATTATTAGTGTTTCGCAAAATCAAAAATTTAATTTTAAAAAAATTCAGAGTTAAAACTGGAAATCTAACATGGAAATAGCACTCCTTTTATCTTACAACTTATTCGAATATGAAGGTTAAAATTCCGATAAGTCACTATCCCACTATTATATGATCATATTTTTAAAGAAATTCTAATAAAAATGATGTCTTTTATATGACGCTTCTCAATAGTTTTTATTGTATTATCTAAAATTATTATAATTTTAACAAATATTTTTAGGTCCATACACTGTAAAATATATAGGTAATTAAATTTTTTTCAAGACATCGTCTACATCTGAGTGAGAACATAGAATTAATAAATTACATATAGAAATTTGCATAATTCTGCAATGTATTTTTCTACACTATAAATTTAGTTCGAGATCTTGAAAAGTATTCAAACTTAATGGAAGGCACGACAATCTTTATGTACAAAATAATTAAGAAAATAATTACAACTTCTACTTATAATATATAAAATATTCTTGCAAAAAATATTTAGTTTTAAAATAATTTAGAAACAACTACATTTAAGATAATTGTAAAAATTCTCTAAGATTTAATAAAAAACAAAAACTTGCTATTAAATTCATTGTTGCCTTGAAATAATTTAATTATTTCTAATTTAAGCTAAATTCAGTCAAGTTAAGAATGTTAAAAATTCTAAATTCTATATGATGAATTATATTGAATGAGTTATGAGCTCAGTGGTTAGTACATCGGCTCGTTGAATTTAATATTAAAAAAAATTAATCGCGACTGTATAATATTGTAGTTTTGGCATTGGTCTAGTATTTTGTGATAGTTGTTTTTTTATTAAACTCATTAAGAAAGGTAGAAAAAGCTCCATAAAAATAAAATTAATTATATTTGTTTGACTCAATACGCAACATAGGACGCGTAAGCTCTACATTATCACAACAATATTTTTAACAAAAAATTTTCATATTTGATTTTTATTTTAAAGTTTTAATCAAAATTTTAATAGCTTAAAGTTCACATCTACTTATAAATTAATTGAAATTTAATATTAAATTTTTTTAATTTTCTTCTTCTAGGTAAGTGTCAGACAACAAATTATATTTGCGGGTTAATTACAAGAACATAATATTGAGTGGTAAGTACAAATTCATTATTTTCATTAAAGATTCAAAGTACATTAAAGATTCTTGAATAAAATTTAAAATTTTTTTTAGGTTTTCCATTCTTTTACCTAATACAATCTGATATTCTATTAAGTATTCTATTGTATATAAAACTCTAGTGTTATGTATGTTATAATGTTGATATTTTATACCTTGAGCTTATCGATTACATAAAATACATGCATAATTTTGTTAACCTACATGGAAAATAATGACTTGAAATTTGAACTCAATTAAAATTTATTTTATAGTCGAGCCCAACATTTTATTACAATTCTGAAAGAAATTTTTTCGAATTTTAATAATTTTTCAGTGCTTAAATGAAAATTTATACTTTGTACCATTTCCAAAAAACAAAGAGTAAAAATTTATAAAATCAGTCACGAATTAGTTCAATTCATTAAGAAACAAATCATGTAAAATGACTGTCAGCCGATCATGAGATGGAATAATGACCAAAAAAAGAAATTAAAGAAATTTCAAGAGTTGCAATTACAATAACACAAAAAGCATGAGGTCATAGAACTTTGATTAGCTTTATTTATAAAGTCGCGATGTACGCAGCCAGATTTTAAGATGGCATGGTGTTATCCTTTCATTTTGGTAACTTTAATTAACAAATGGTAACAATTAGGTATAACCCGATTTGACTAGGGTATAAATTTGTTCACAATTCAAGCACAGCTTGGATGAAAATTAATTTCTTCAAAGCATGAATTTATTTTATAATATTATAAAATTCAAACAAAGTCAATTTCAAAGAAATTAATACTTTTCAAAAATTATTATCCAAATTTTAAGACACTGTTGTATTGAATTTGATTGACAATCTCTGTACAAAGTAAAATACTAATTAAAATTAAATTATAGGTTAAAATTGAATAATTTTTTCCATTTAATGAAGACTCTTTTTTAATAAAATTTTATTCAAATGTTCCTTCTCCTTTATTATTCTGTAGTATTCAAAATATTTTCTTTCAAATGTAGATGCAGTTGTAAATAATTATTTTTTAATAATGATTTTGCAATACAAAAGCGTCAAGTATATAAAAAGTATTCGTTGTTAATAACATACTGCAATTACTACAGCCAATAAAAACTTTATATACCCTACATTTTTAATGTTAGTAATTTCACGAATTTGAAATCAACATGATAGGAATTAAAATTTAAAACACATACCTACTAAATGTACTTTTCTAAACTTTAGTAAGACAGTAAATCCAATTTAGTGATGCCAAATTTTTTTGTTTGTTTCATAGATTGTAGGGTTGTAGATTCGTCAAAATTGAATAACAGCGCACCGAGACCGAGCTGTAC